CGAACGGGTGGTGTGAGTTAGTGATCGGTGCCTTTCCTCACATCCAGGCTGAGCAGAAAGCATTTCTGTCTGCAGGAAAATCTCCTCGCTCCCTTTTTAAAGCATCCAAAACTCTTTCTGGATTTGGCCAGTGAACAAAACTAATTTGTCCTCATTGCTAAGCTTCCTGATAGTGAAGCAGCCAATTAGAGATAAGGTTTCAGCCCTCGCAGCTTTTACTGCAGTGCAACCCCCTCCTCCCTCTTCCTTTACCCCACTCTCTCCTTTTGCAACGCTTTTGTCTCGTTCCTCCAAACGTTACGTTTAATCTTCCTCTGCTTTCCCCTCGTCTTCAGCATTCTGTAGTTTCTGTGTCATTCAGAGTTTTTTTTCCTTCCCCTCATCGTGGTGCACTAAAGCTGACAGTGTCTTTGCGTGGCTTAGAGGTCAAGCATCCTCGACGTGTGTGAAGGGTTCAGCTCGGATGGATGCTCAGTGGCCGCACAGTGATGCAGCGAGGTGTAGCGGGGCTGGAAACACAGGACGAGCTAGCTTTAAAAGATTTATCTATGTGGGTGGGTGGCGTTCTATGCTAGCAGAGACGTGCACTGTCCTCTTCCCTGTGCTGCAGGCTTGCTGATGGAGGGGTTGCATGGAGTTACAGATGATCTTTTATACTGTTTGCAAGGTTTTTGTTCACAAAGGTCCGAGCCTGACTTATCGGACTCGACAGCTGCTGCCACTGCAAAGTTTTAAAACCGCCTCAGCGGTCGTTTACAGGTGAACCTGGAAAAATCTGAATATGGTGCAAAAGTATTTTAATTTAAAAGGTATAACTAATATGTGAGTGCACCGTATTCAAATTTTTCGAGTTTCAGCTGTGCTGATAGAGAAAAATGTGGATACGCTCAACTCATGAAATGTTTTAGAGATGGACTGATTCGGGTTTTGTGTGTCGATACTGTTTAACTTGGTGACCAAAATCGAAGTTTTTGAGTTGATATATCATCTTCAGCAACTTCTCCAGAGCACCAACAGGGACAAATGAAATCCGGGCCTCCTTTAAGGTTCCAAGGATGCCTTGAAGATGAAAGGTGTCAGGGTGATATCAAAGGGTGATGTCCATCTTCTGACATCCCGCTGCTTTGTACCTCCATCTGTGTCGTTACAGACTAACCTGTGGAAAAATAAGAGCTGTGAGCGAGAGATCAGCTCTCATCTGTCCGTCTCCCTTCGTCTGTGTCTCTTCATTTCATCACGTCATCTTTCTCACTCTCCATCTATCAGCAGCAGTTGCGTGCTGTCATCATCGTGCGTGCGTCCGTTCGTCCGTCTTTACGTCCACATGCAAAGGCGCCTGGTATCCGTCTGGCTGTGTGTCTGCGTGTGTTTGTACTAACACCATCTGCGGCTGGAAGCAGGTCCTGTTTGTTGATTATTAGCGTGTTGCCTGTTGTTCTTCGGGGTAGCTTCATTTAAACAGGAATGTTGTGAACAATTAAGACCTTTTCTGTTGTAGAATGTAGGAGCGGAATAATACATCGATATATTGATGACACTGTCGTCAATCTAAAATGCAAAAATCCATCTGAATAATCATTTATAAAACGCATCTGTGTTTTGACATTTGCTTAATTTTAAATTTCAGCCTGCTGCGGCTAGAGCTAACAATGAGCTAATGCTAACATGTGTCAACTAATACAAAATAAACCACAAAGTAAAAAGATCAACACTGTTGGACAAAATATGTTATTACTTACAAGTCCAGTAGCAACAAAGCCAGGTCACCATCAGTGATTTTGTAGCCTCCTTTAGCTAAAACTAGCGTAGGCTGCGTCAATGTTCACTCTGGTTTTAGCTCTTTGCTTCTGCTCCAAAGATATCACTATCTTACTTTTAAGCTTGGTTTATGCTTGACACGTCTGCGAGGTTCACATGGGTCCGTGCGGCAAAATTGCGTCATTTTAACAACCATGCCCCTCCACCGCGCCTCCGCACGGCCCAAACTTTCTGCACCGAGGAAATTTTCTAACCACGCGGATGGTCAGACGTGGAAAAACATGGCGGACTGGCAAGACCTAGTATGGCAGAGGTTCGTAAATACAGACATTTGTATGATTCAGCTCTCAGAGATCACCGTGATCAACATGTTGTTAATAATTCTTGGAGAGAAATAGCTCGCACTGTCGGAAAAGACGAGGACGCTGTTAAAAAATGCTGGAATGCCATGTTGTAAACAACAGTAATTTCTACTTCTACTATGGTGTAGTGTTGGATGCATGCCGTAGAGCTCCATGCTGCCCCCTACAGTTTGGGAGAATATTGGCTCACTGCAGAGACAAGCCGCATGAACCATAAACGCTGCAAGTTGTGAAGCGCGTTCCATCCGCGAGCCGCATCACCAAGCGGAAAGTAAACGCTTCATGCATAAACCAAGCTCTTCTTCTTCTTCTTCTTCTTCTTCTTCTTCTTCTTCTTCTTCTTCTTCTTCTTCTTCTTCTTCTTCTTCTTCTTCTTCTTCTTCTTCTTCTTCTTCTTCTTCTTCTTCTTCTTCTTCTTCTTCTTCTTCTTCTTCTTCTTCTTCTTCTTGTGCTTTTTATTGATAGTGGTGCACTGTAAAAGCTAACTGCTAACCTTTAGATAGAGACCTTTCCATGAGTGCCAACCCGAATCACAAAAGTTAGGTGCAGTATCTGGTCAGCAGAAGGCTGCGGAGTGCTGTCCAGTGTCACGTTGCTTTAGTTTATGGCTCAAGAATCACAGAAACCAGTTTAAAAGAAATAGGTTAAAGTGTTAAAGCTCTTTAGTGTTCCTTTAAATCAAGAAGCTAGTGGCGTCATGGCGAGCAGCGAGAAAACAGTCAGTGAAGAAATCGTCTCTCTCCTGGAAAATGATTGTTTTCAGTCACTTTTAATGTTTCATATCGATCCATCCATCGAATCTAAATGGTATTGTGACTGATTTTGATTTCACATGGAATCGAGATAATATTCACATCATGATCAAACTGGTGACTTACAGCTCTGGTTCAGAGCTCTTTTAACATTGGTTTTAGAGAAATAAAGATGAGTTTTGATTGGACTGACTGTTGCTGTTTTTAAAAAACGTTTACATCACCGCCAATTTAACATTTTGTTATTATTCTGATAGAAAAATCCTAAAATTCTTGCCAAAGTGTCCCAATCTGCACTGGAAATGCTACATATAGCTGCTAATTAATTCTGCATTCAAATAAAAAAAGAGTGCATTTTAAACCCCTCTGTAATGCTAAAGCTGCAGCAGTATATAAAGTGTTTGCATTAACTGCTTTGTTTTTATGCTATCCTTTAGTAGCATCTGTCCCCTTTAAACCTGTCTCCACTTGTGTTAGTCCCTAGCTTCTACAACTAGCCACTCTGGTCAGAACGCGTCATTTTTCTCCAAACTGAGGTCATCCAAAGAGCTTTCTACAGCAGATAAATTATTGATTGTTCACAACCTTTCCACTGAACCCCACTTCCAAAGAACGAAGCTATCAGTTTGAGGCTACAAACGTGAGTTTGTACTTTGTGTTTGAGTCTGTTCATCCTTTCCTGTCTTGCAGGAGTGAAGAGAGGAGTGTGTTCACAGATTAATCACTTCCCAGAGGACGCAGACTTCGACCACGATGGGGCAGAATACGTCCTGCGTAAGTCAATACTTGAGCACCAAATATGGTTGACTGGAGATGGAGAGAAGGGCCGTTCTGTGCTTTAAGAGAGGTATTTGGACCCTCGCTCGTTGGATGATGTCACCCAGAAACAAACATTTGACAGTGTGGTAGAAGCCCTAGTAGATGCCCTAATTCACACTCAGTGCCCTGCAGTGATGTCTTCTGCTCAGTGATATGCTGCAAGCAGGCCTGTGCATGCATGAAGCCTGTGCTCTGTTTACAATGTTGCAGAGGCATTTTGCTGGCATTTAGGTGGCATTTTCTCTCCAGTGGCCTAGTTGTCCTAGATGAGAGAGGAGCGTGCATGTGTGAGTTCGTGCATTCGTGCATGCGTTCACGTGTGTTTGTGTGTGTGTGTGTGTGTGTGTGTGTGTGTGTGTGTGTGATTTTACTTGTGCATGATGTGTGTACTTGGTTGACAGATTAACCAAAAACATTAACGGTCACATGAGAATTTATTAGAACTAATTGTGATTCTAGAACCAAATAATTAATTTCTTCATGGAGCAACTTGGGTGTGTGTGTGTGTGTGTGTGTGTGTGTGTGTGTGTGTGTGTGTGTGTGTGAGTGTGTAGCTCATTGCTAAATTAATGATTTTTCTATCACATGTGGTTGCAATCCTGGTTGACTTAGTATTAACTAGCACCGTTTACTGAAATCATCTTGTAACCCTCAGCAGAACTGCTCTTGAGCTCTACACTACACACCTCTCTCTCTCTCTCTCTCTCTCTCTCTCTCTCTCTCTCTCTCTTATATTTATATAAGCAGTGCTCTGATACCACCTAGTGTTCGGTTCATTACACAACATATACAAAGTTCCTTGTTCATTTACGCTTGATCAACAACACGTATACTAATACTTACACTTCCCAACAAATCTCATAATAGTTACTTTTATAATGAGACCAAAGTAATCAAATACACCTTGTGGTTACAGATATATACTCACTAAAGTTTGTGTATGTCATCTGTGCCTCACTAACATTACTATTGATTTTAAAAAACTGCTTGAGCACAAACTGCCTTGAACAATTAAAATGTGATTAATCAAGATTAATTAATAACAAAGCTTCTGATTAATTAGATTAGTCTTTAATAGAGTCCATATACATATGAAACAAGTGATTTTTACACCCCTTCGTCTCTTTAAATCATTGCTCTTTTAGGGGTGGTCCGGGCTTCCAACATCTTCCCAATCCTTAGTGCCATCCTGCTGCTGATGGGAGGGGTTTGCATAGCTGCTAGTCGTTTCTATAGGAGCAAAAGGAACATCATCCTGGGGGCGGGAATTCTGTTTGTGGCTGCAGGTAATTTATGAGCAGTACTTGACTATCCTTAATTATGTAGATATGTGCTTGCTTGTGTATTTAGTTTAATCTATTCTACATTTTTGCTCAATAAATGCTTAAAAACATGATGATTGAGAAGAAGCGAATGCTGGAACATTCAGAAAACTCGTAATTTTTACTTGCAATGCATGTTTATGTTGATTCAAAAGTTGTTAGCTATGCACAATACCCAACAAATTGTGTTTTGTTAATTCTGAAGATGCTGTTTTTGTTCTCTCACAGGTCTGAGTAACATCATCGGTGTTATAGTCTACATCTCAGCTGCGCTGGGAGACATTTCGCCTAAAAAAGACGAGGATAAGAAATGGCAGTATTCCTACGGGTGGTCCTTTTACTTCGGCGGCCTGTCCTTCATCATGGCCGAGATGGTGGGGGTGTTGGCTGTCAACATCTACATTGAGAAAAACAAGGAGCTCCGCTGTCGTTCGCGCACCGACATCTTCAAGAGCACTACGCACGCCATGCTGCGCCTTCCCAGCTATCGCTTCCGCCGCCGCTCCCGCTCCTCCTCGCGCTCCACCGATCCCTCCCGCTCCCGAGACCCTTCACCCGTAGGAGGAGGTGGGGGGAAGAACTTCGGCCTGCCCCCCTCTGCGCTGCTCTCCCAGGGACCCATATCAGTGTCCACCCTGCCCAACCCTCACTCCCGCTCCCACACGGCCCTGGCTGGAGGTGACATCTCCCTCTACACGCTGTCCCGTGACCCCAAACTGGGTGGCTTGCCACCCATGTATGGAACTGTGGACAGGGCCACGCTCTACCAGCTTCACAACTGCTTCCCAAAGGACGGGGGCGGAGGGAGCGTGATGATGAGCGGTACGCTGCCGTCACTCAAGTCCCACAACCCTTCTAATTCTTCCAACTCGAACGTACCGATGGGCAACTCTGTGGGTTCTGGTCCTCCACCATTCACATCCTCCTCAGTTGACAGAGAGCGAGGGATGGGGACTCTGGACAGGCTGAAGGGAGACAGGGAGAGCAACTCTAACACCCTTAATAGGAAAACCACACCTGTGTAGCTGGAGGTGAGGGAGAAGGGAGAGGAAGGTGAAACGTGGAGGGGGAAAGCCTCAGCAAGAAAAAAAAAACAGAAGATAATGAACCCCCATCCAGGTTCACTGTTATTAGGTCAGTGAGACTAAAAAACGTAATAACAGAGCGATAATAACAACAACAAAGAACTCTCACGATAAAACTATTTTGATATTTTGACGTGCTAGAAATGATTTATTTTATTAACAATCAAACACGATTAACCTTGGGCTATAACGACTGTGCTTCACCCTAATTTCTGTGCAATATTACTGCTAATTTAACCAGACGATCATCAGTGCGACTTGTTGTTGTGATTATTCTTGGTGTTATTACCAGCTAGCTGTATTTGCAAACACAAGTTTGGAATGATTTGGGATTTTATTTCACTAATTTTAGACATCTATGACTTGTACTGTGAATTCTTCCATGCTGAGCCGCTGGGATTATCATCAGTGAGCCGTGTGTTAACTGTGTCAAAATGTCAAGTGTGAGTGTGCAGAACGCACGTGGGATTGAGTCTGTTTTTTATTTTTTTAAACCCCCTCCCCCCACATTGTACGACTTTCATTTATAAAATGAAGTCGGATGTGAATACTGTAAATTGTCTTCCAGCAACGATGCTAAAAGAAATGCAACAGTTACGCGAGTGACTGAGATGACCCACAGCCGCATCGTTAGCACGAGTTTGGGTTTTCTACGGGCCTCTGTTAGTCGTTTCCTTTTCATTTTCATCCAAATCGGCATTAACAGTAGTCCTTGTAGCTTTGTTGTGTTGAAGATGTTTGTTCTCGGGGCATTGCCGGAAACCTCCGACAAAAAAAAGAGACTGAATCACGTGTTTGTACAGAATCAGGTTACGATCGCTTCCAGAGAGGAAAAAAAAGGACTAAATCAAACCTTTTTCTATGAAAAGTCCCAAAGTGACACATGCAAATCATCATTTCCACTAGCAAAAAAGGAAAAATTCAAAACACATGTGTATGGGTTCAAAAAGACTTTTAAGAATAGCTTTGAAAAAGCTACATGTACATTGTAATTTATGCATACATGTGTTTGAGAAGTTGATACATTTGAGCGGAGAAGGTTTGGCTCGAGTGTTTTGATCCGCTGGACTCCTGTCGGTTGGTTTCGTTCACACTCACCTGTCTGTATCTGATCACATGACCTGTTTAGCCCTTACTCTTAAAGACGGCCCCTTCAAAGGCGTGTTTCCATCATCGGAACTGCAGGGTAACTTCTGGGATGATAAAACCTACCGGGAGATAAGCTGTCCCAGTCCTCTCAGCTGTTGCGTTTCCGTGCAAACTCAGCCCTGGACTTTGAACTGACGTCAGCATATCACGACTGCTTCGCCAGTGAGTGATGTCACTGATCAGCGCCAAAAACTGTCTGTCCCAGTACGCCATCATTTTAAGCCATTTGGAGCATGAGAGCAGCTGCGTGATGTAAAATGTGGCGTCCAGTGACCGAAGTAAGCTCCGGGTGTTTCTCAATGTCAAGGTGCCTTACTTAAGTCGGGCGGACGCTGTGTGACTTTTTCACTCATAGCACTCAGCTTCAGCTCAAACTGTACGACTTCCTCGCAGGGCAGGTCTCACGAGTCATGTGCTCACACTGTACGTCTGGTAGCAACACGTCTGACCTAAAAATATGCTAAAAATAGCTGTTTTTACACGACACGTCAGACTTTTTTGTTTTGCCTGTTGTCCTTCGGGAGTGCAGCAGGAGGACACACAGGGATTTATGGGGGTTGGATGAGGAAAACGAAATAAAGAAAGTAAATCTGTGTTTTGTGATCAGTTTAATTTGACATGAACACGACAAACACGCTTTCTTGACAATCTTTGTAAGTAAAAAAACGTGTAGAAAAAAACGTGTAGAAATAAAAACGAACAACGTGTGTTATTAGGGAAATAGCGGGCGAGCGGTGTTGATGCAGGATTGCGCATGCGCCGTGAGCGGTTCTGATACTTAATGGGTCGCAGCCGCTCGCTGCGCCGCTTCAACAGTGCGATACCCTCACGAGGGACGAGCAAAATATCAAACAGGCCAGAAATTCGTGCCAGCTCACGATTGCTGATCGGTAGCTGGTCACGTGGTGTTAATCGCCTCTCGTAACCCCCTGTACACTACACGACGCTCAGCGCAAAACTCGCTCCGATCTTGTGGATTCTCGCACGAGTAGAAAAATCGGCTCAAGAAAGTGAAAAAGTCGCACAGTGTACGCCCGGCTTAAGGAGGACGCTGTCCTTCCTTGGTCAAAGAAAACGGTAAAATGGAACAGACTTGCATCACGTAACCGCGGCTTCCACGGCGGTCAAGTAATGTCATGTGACACGGGGGATAACCTTATATTTTATACGTATTCGTTTCAATATAAATATTTAATGAGAATTTTACTTTTTAAATTGTGTATATGTTTATTAAATTAAAATCATAAGTGAGTTACTACCCGCTAGCCACCAAAGCTGCAACAAAGCAACTAACCAACCATAGATAACTTCTTTGGATCCAAAAAAAATATTTTTTAATTAGCTGACTAATTTTTAAACTTGAAATTTGCCCTCGAAGTAGCTGCCGGCTTCTGATCCGCCGTCTTTTTGAAAATACTGCGATGTATTGTAGGTAATTTTTGACCAAGGCTAGGCTACAAGACACCTCCCGTGTATCCTTCCTCAGCTAGCTAAACGGCTAACAAACGGAGAACACACGCCTCAGTAGAACATGATTGGAGCACGTCTTGGCGGCTCCCGATGACGTATCTCCTTGGCAACCAGGGTGGGGCCAGGACATCAAGGCGAGGTTCCTTGGCATTGAGAAACACCCTCTGTTTTTTACGGCGCTCTGCAAGACAGCAAATTCCCGTGAGTTACGCCGTGTTTTCGGTGCTGAGAAGGAGGATTTTAAAGCTGCATGACCGGCGCTTACCTTCTCTTTATTCCATGCTGCTTCACAAGCAGCAACTCTTCTAACGCTGGTTGTTTTGGACGTTGTCTGCTGATGTCATTTCCTGCGCGGTGAAGTGCAGACATGTGCATGGGGAAGTTCCGGTAGTGGAAACACGCCTAAACGTCCCCAAAGAGTCTTTTCACTGTGCTTCCCAGTAACTGCCGACTCCTGAGTGTGAACTGTTTCTGTTGATGAGAATGTAAACACACATAATCCCACACACACACACCTCAACGCCATACCCCTCCATCCTTCTTCTACTGCTCCATCGTGAGTGAGTGCAGATGCAGGTGGAAACCTGCTACGTGATGAAACGAAGAAAACCCGATGCTTCCAGGTTCTCTACCTTTTCTTTTCTTTGACTTCCTTTCAGAAACAGAACTATGTGACTAAACTGCACACAGATAGCATTTATGTGGGCAATATAAATAGTATGTAGTTGAGAATAGATCTATTTAGGCCAGTGATTATGGTTTATCTAAATGTGTGATAAACACTGTATTGCACGAAGTTTATAAAAAAACGATGACAGACATTTTCACCGACTTCTGTCTTTTGTTATTTTCCTCGTTGAGTAAAAATGTTTTCTTGTGAATGTTTACAGATGCAGGAGCTAAAAATCTTGCAGCCTTTCACAACACAGCGCATCCTTATGAAACATTTGCTGAAAGGGGAATCTGAAACCACATTTGCCTCGTTGTTGAACATAAGCAGCCTGTGGGGTCTGATGTTCCACCTCTGACCTGCTTTCATATGTAAATTATTAATGAAGTATTTATGGTTAATTCCGAGAAAAGCTGTTTTAACACTACATAATCTTAGACACACCTCCTTGAAGCTGTTATAGCGAATCTACAGAACAAGCTAGGATTGTAACGCAAACACCGTCACAGAAGACTCACCCCTCCTCTCGGGTTTCTTCCCTGAGACCCTTCTGCCGGAGCCGGAAACCCGTGATGCCGGGGAAAACAAGATAGCGCTGAACACCCGTCTTTGTTTTCTAGGTCCTTTGTTGTCCGTGACTTCAGATGGTGATTTTCTTTTTGGGACTCTGGTAGTTTGTCCTAAAGCTGAAGCGGTAGCAGCCGGCCGTTTCTCCTCCTCTGATGTTATTGAGTGGAGAACCTCTCACACCAGTGGTGTTCTGGTGCTGAATGCATGAGTGTGTGATGAGTGGAGGTCGCAGGGAAGTGTGGCGGTTCGGCCAGACCGACAACCGGATGGGCCAATAGTTGGTTTTGGTCCGAAACGTGTTATTGACACAGGGTTATATTATTATTATTATTATTATTATTATTATTTTCCTTTTTTTTTTTACTCTAAAATATATTTATAGCTATACTATGCTAGAATGTTGGGTGAGTCACACCATGGGTGGAGACTTACTTCACCCACCTTTCCCATTACAGAAATTAGCCTAAAGGACACTTGTGCTTGCAGTTTAGGTGTGCTAATGCTAGCCTAAGCTGCTGCTAACTAGCCCGAGTTGTTGCAATCACTAGCCTGAGCTACTGCTATCATCCTTGATGGATGAGAGGAACACAACAGAGAAGACTGTTGGAGCTCTACTTGCCTTCTAGATCTGGAAATATCTAGAATGTGAATAGATGCCACATAGATCCACAGCTTGTGGTCCATGTCCTTTTCCTCGTTCGTCCGCAAAGCCCTGCTCCATAACCAGCCAAGTTACTAGCTATATTTTATTGTGTTCATTGTTATTATATTAAGTTTATTTATTACAATTATTAAGAGATTTTGTTCAGTCATGTTTGCTCTCTGATGAATTATCACTGTGATTTTTGGTTTGTGTTCCAGCTACATAAACAAATTACACCTTGTAAAATCTCCCGTAGTTCATTTTAAGGTATTTAGAAGCGTTTTCTTTTTCTTGTACCGTGCCTTCAAAAAGACACTTGACAGTAATTTCTGTAACATTAACAGACTACCTAATAATAATACTAATAACAACAATTCAACCTGCCCAGCATCCAAAACAATCTATACATTATTACTGACTGATTCATATAATTATAATTATGTGGAAAAACAATGTGTTTATCACCAAAAATAGCCTTTTTCTACTCCTTTGTAATAGTACTGAGAAAGAGACAAAAGGTGATTCCCACAGGCCCCTATGCTATGCTGCTAGCTAACATGCTACATTGCTCATCTTCTTCTGGTTCACTGAGTTGTGAGGAGACACCTGCTGACATCATCAGCTTCTGATTCTGGTAGGGACAAGGACAACAACCCGTTTGCCATCATTAGTTGAAACATAGTTCCTCTCATTGTGGATTTCAAAGCTAGCAAACGGGTTGAATTAAACCACTCGCTAACTTTCTGACGCCCTCTCTTCTCCCTGTCCTCTTTCTCCTTTCTTTCTCTCCTTTTCTGGAACCCAGACTTTGTTTCTGCTGTGCTGACTGCTGCTCGAGCTCGAGCTTGGCCTGCAACACTGGCCGTGTTCGAGTTGAGCTGCGCCTCGCCTGGAAAACAGACGAGAGCAGACGGAAGCAGCAGGGGGAGTGGCTGAAAGCCGGCGTTTAAGTCGGACAGATTTCCCTGCATGTGTAGCTCGGGGGTGACGATGGCTGAAGGTATCCCATTAGAGTTCATACTTGTTTGTGGATATCATATATTGTATATGGAGACCTGACTAATAATAAGCAAAGGTTATCAGCTGAAGGTTTAGTGTGCTCATAGGAAACGTGACAAAAGAACACAAAACACATCTCTTTATGGCCTTTATAGTTGTCATCATCAACGTTACATGATTTACAGAATACATGTGACCAACTATCTTTTTTTTCTCCTTGAATACGCTTTATTGACAAAGCACATAATACAACTACAAAGAAATAGCAAGCACAATGTCAGGGGGTTTCTATGGGAAGACAAAACAGTAACAGAGAATCACATGATATTGAACAGGGAACATAAGTTTATGGTTTTGACAGCTTTCAAATTTTGAGAATGTTGTATGGTTTGAATTTTATTTGATTAATTTATTGATATTATTAACTAAATTTCATATACATAAGTCGAAATTTTCTAATGCAAAACCTTCCTTTCAGTGCTTTTTAAATGAAACCAGACAATATATAAAAACCATGTGACCAACTAACATTTCATGTTCTACCACCGGATGTTTGGATCAAAATATGAACCAATCAGATCTTAGATCAGGTGAGAGCCAGGCGTTTCCCGTCATCCTCCAGAGCAACTGCAGCGCCTTGCTCCAAAGTCTGCGGTCGCCTTGATCTCACGAGGTTATCGTTGCCTACGTATGCATGACGTCAGAGCAAGCCGGCGTCAAGTCAGACACAAATCTAACCGGCATGCACTGCGCGCCGATCACCGGTGATCGAATCTGCGCAGAACTGGCTCATCTCGAACACGGCTACTGCTACTTGGCCAGGAGGAGGACTCTACCATTTTATGCAGGGAGTTTCAAATGAACTTGTCAAAATAAAGTAGAGACCTCTGATTAAATATACATTTCATTAAGACAAAAATATTGTTTGTTTAATGTCATAAATTAGAAAAAATACTGCAAAGTTAAGTACTTGTGACTTTTAAACTTTCTTTTTTTTTATTCAAGTTTGAAACTTTTTCGGGCCCTGGGCTCGACACACGGGAGGCCACATTGCCTCTCCATTCATTTTCAATGAGACGTGCGTGGCAAAGCGATAATCGCAGGTCTCCCTCCTACTAAGCGAAACGTGAAAAACATGCGTGTAAAATTTTGCGCTCGTGCACCTGTCGTCCACAGGTGACCCAGCGACGCGAACCCAGAAAGCTGAAATATTTTCAACTTTTCATCGCTGTCGCTCGGACAAGGACCAAAAATCATTTGGCACGTTTCTAATTCATAATTTGTAATAATGTAATCGGTGATATTAGCATTAGCATTCCTATGGGTTTTTCCATGTATATTAGCATTGCGCTAACCACTCGCTGCCAAGTTGCAGCTTTTGCGATTAGAAAATCTCATTTTGTCACATCGCAATTTAATTGCACATGCAGTTAATCGTTTAGCCCTAATATACATGCAGGTCTATGCTAAAAGTGTATTTTCAAAGAGGTAATGATGGATTTCTTTGTAAAAGTTGTCCATCTTTCCAACAGAAAAATTTGCCTGGACCAACTAAGGTTCATGTTCAGCCAATCAACTACTTTGACGTCATCGGCAGTCGAAGGACCCCGAGCCGATCTTGCACCCGAGCAGATCCTGTACCGTCACTGGATTTCCCAGAACTGTACAGTATTTCTACCATGGATGTAATTTTGGTGGGGGACAGGGGGGACATGCCCCCCCCCCCCCCACACACACACACACACACACACTTTTTCCAAAGTCAAGTTTTGTTGACCCCTGCACTTTTTACCATCCATAAACAACATTACACTATATTAAAGTGACACTGGTTGAGCTCTAGGACCAAGCGGAAAACAACCGTTTGTTTTGAAGCCTGTTTCCCATTAGAGCATACTGTAAAGATACCCCCCCCCCCCCCCCCCGTGTCCCCCCCACTTCTAAAGTGAAAATTATGTCCATGATTTCTACCAAAGAATATAGAGATATTCACAAAAAGGCAGCGGCATGGGAAATTGTTGGTGCCAGAATTAACACATCAGGTAAGTGTACTTTACATATGCAAAATGTTTTTGTAAGTTTATCTGGAGCAATCTGACACAGCCAATAAAAATAACGGAAGATTCGATTTTGCCATGAACAGAACGCGTCAACGGCTTTGCTGCTGGCTGCTGCCGCGGGTCGCCTCCCGTGTGTCAGGTAATAAATGCGACAGCGACGAATTTCGCTGATCGCGGTCGTTTGTCGCCTGCCGTGTATCGAGCCCATAAGAATGGTTCTAACCCTTACCCCCTTTACGGCGGCCTTGTGCAGAGCAAAACACTTCCTGTCCCCCGTTTGAGTTTCGCGCTGCTGCAGACTTCACGTGAAGCAATTGTGGGGTTGTGTTTGGCCCTTTTTCTGAGGTCTTGGGCTATTTTAGCCCCAACAAAGTTTCATGTATTATTTAGAGGCTCAAAGAACACTTTCCAATTGTAACTAAACTTCTTCTAATACACTTTTAAATGCAAGTTTGCACTCACTGACAGGAGTTTTTAGGTCTGGTTTGCAGACATTTGAAACAAAGAACATCACCGAGTCTTGGTTTCTCACAGCAAAGGGAAAGTTCTGGTTCTTTGGTTTATTAACTCAAAACAAGATACAGATACATTATGTATAAGGAGCTAGTCACAGCTGAGGAGCTACCAGAGTTCAAATGCAGAAACCAGAACAATCTGAGACTAAACTGAAAATTTATTCCAGTTACATAAATGTGGAAACTTTTGTGCAAAAAAAATTATCTTCACAAATTTTTTACTTCAAACTATGGAAGCCCATTCCCACCAATCAGATAAAAAAATAACATCATCTCATAAGACTTAGTATCTCATAATTCTGACTTACTATCTCATAATTATGACTTATCTTCCTCATAATTATGACTTAGTATTTAATAATTA